AAAAAGAATTGACACGGTTTTTTGAGGTATGAGAAAATAAACAATAGATTGTTGATAGGATATAGAGATGAGGCCAGGTGTAAGTGTTGAAGAATCGCTGTTTCAAAGAGAAAAACACTGGAAATTGACGATGTATGTATTTCAAGATACGTGCTTTCTCATGCATCTACTCAAGCATTTCGAATAAGTAAAATCTAATACGTCTGAGAAAAACACTTCACAGAAAATAGTAAGCGAGTACAAAGTGATTTGAGAACATAACAAAACCAAGGATTTGACTAGAAACTTTTACTCTATACAGTTAATGTTAAATTGATTTAAGTAGAACTTATAATACTAGCACTACATTGGAAAGTTTTCTAAGTCTTTTGAAATAAGGTAAGATAAAAACCAAGATCTTGTTGTAATTCTTGAATCATCGTTTTATTTTATACTCTCATTTAAGTATAAGTACAAATATTCTCATACTTATAATAAGTTTTGTTTTGAACACAATTGTTTGAGGAAGCGCCTATTATGACTGTTATACACGAGAAGAAAATGCAATGAAAAAATGAGAAATGAAAAGTTTATCATTCAAAATCTTTGTAGAAATTTATTGGTAAGATTTTTGTTACAAGAAGTTTTCCTAGGCTATAATCGTTTTCGTCTTCATCACAATAAATCTAGTCGATAAATGCTAGTCTTTTTATCTCAATTTAGTCACATTGAGGGTTTTATGCGATCAAATTTCATACATTGCGCTATATGCTTTTTATTGCACTATATTGCTGATTTCACTTTAAAATTATCGTCATAGATGAGTAAGATAATGATAATGGTGAGAGGTTGACAAGAATGTTAATCTCTACGTATTTAAGAAGTAACAATGAGAAAAACTTGTGGCAATTTTTATTCGAGAAATTTTTTTTTGCGAATCCTCATGAGTTAAATATTTCTAAGATTTTTACGCGTAGCAGCATGGTTTGTACACGCACAATGCCTGTTCGTTTCCAAGTATATTTCTTTAGAAAAATATCTTTCTAATACAATTAGCCGAATTATTCAGTAAGTAATTTAAGGTGCTTCAGTTTAGAATGGATTTAAACTTGATAAAATTCCGAGTATCTACCAATCAGTTGTCGATTCAAATTATTACATTTACTTGGAATATAATCAAACTATTATAGAAATCTCAGTTGAATTAAGAGAAATGTATTTAGGACAATTGAATGACGAAATTGAAGACTAACGTCAAACAGTTGTATCATCAAAAGAAATGAATACATTCGAAGTATTCTAATACATCAATTATTTGCATGCAATCAGCTAAACAACCTGTTATTGTCAGCTACTATTTGCTAAAACCTAAGAACAACTACATGAGCAGCTATATAAAATAATTTACATTTGGTGTGCAATTTACAACTATTATAGTTTGATTGTCTCGATCATTCGTTTGCACATATATCATCTCATGTATATGCTATAAAATAGGAAACAAAACAGCTTCAAGAAAGAAACGACTGCTTGACAATGAAACGTTTGTAAAGGTGTAATTTTATAAAACGTAGTACGCCCATCGATAAAATCAAAATTATTTATTTATAAATAATTTTAAGACGTAACATGAATACAGAACCAGTCAGATAAGGGAAACTGTGGAATTAGGGTTCAACCCAAGGTCTTGTATTGACAACTACGGAAATATTTCAGCTCTAAATGCCGCTCGATGCTGAATAATTTTGAAACAGCGATTTTTCCAGACTTCTGATCAGTCAGTATAAACTGTCATACTTTTCGTGAATAAAACAGTCTTAGATCTTACTTATGCGATTACTACTCACCCAAAGACGATGGTAAATAAGAAAAAAAACTAAAGATAAGTCATAACCTATCGTGTATTTATGATGCGAATGCTCTTACATTGAATGGTACTTAGATCAAATTTGCTTTCTTGTTGCAATACTTTCTTCTTCTCTAAAGAGAATATCAACAGAAATGATAGTTAAACAATTAGCGAGTTTCTCCGATATTGAGCGACCAATAATTTTCGCGGAAATTGGCTCCACTAAGAATCACAGAATATACGGATAATTTCATTCCCACCAGTTATCATTTTTTTCATTCTATGTTTTATTGTATTGTTGTGATATTTTGTACCGTACGATACACAAAGATTAAAATTCGAAAATAGTCGTATTAACTATAAAAAAGAGTCTGATCAACAATTTTAATCATTCTTTACGTAAGGTACAGTGAAACATATCACATCAAACACATAACGTCATAACTTTAAATAGCAAAAACTGTTTTCAATTCAATACTCTTTAAATACAATTAGAGTGATTCAGTTGCAATTTTCCATACACATTTTCCACAGTAGATTAGATTCTGACTTTTTATATTTGATAAAAATTCTAAAGTTTAAACATTATTCAACTATTTGCAAAAGGTGGACTAATCGATGCAAATATTTATAAGATTTTATATAGTTGTTTATTTTCTTACAACACAAACAAACATGCACACAAAGAAATATACCTGATGACGAAAATATATACAGAGTTAAGTAAAACGAAAGCAAACAGAAATTTGTTTAGTTGCCGTTGACATACATCAGAAAAACAGGCTATGTGTGTGTGTGTGATGATGTATAAACACTAAGATATAAACAAAAACAAATAAATCAGATTCAGTTACTGACACCTGTGAGACTGTCGGGTGGAGGTAAGAAAAAAAAAATGAGAAACACCTTCCAAATTTTTCTTACAAAAAAAAGTATTTTATTCCTTTTAACTATCTGACTGGAGAAAAATTTGTTCATTTCGGGATAGACTTTATCTATGTAAAAATAGAAAAATCATTCTAGCTAAAAATACAGGCTAGTACAAAAGTGGGAGTAAAAAATGCACGAGCGAGAAAAAAAAAAAAACACCATCTCGTGTTTTTTTTTACTTTTTTTGTTAATTACACAAGAGAAACATAAGAAAAGATTATTCTCATCAAGAAAGAAAACATCATCGATCAAAAAAAAAAAAACAAGAAGAAATGGAGTAATATCGAAACGTTAGAGTGTAAACGTCAACGCGTACTACATAGTAAAACAAATAACAAAATTTATTCAGTAATTTTACACCAGTTAAAATAACAATGCACAAAATCTACTTCGACAAGGAAAAAAAAAGAAGAGAAGGTTTTTCATTACATCTTATTAGAGGGTCAACGAGGAATTTACTTCACTGTTTAGGAAACGTCTCGCTTTAGGACTTAGATTAGCCATAACATTGCAAATATATAAATACAATCAATATCTGACGTCATAATGATGATAATAATGATTTTGTTACCTTCTAAAGTTTTTCTTCATATTCATCATATGGTTGAATACTATAATGTACAATTGATTCGAGTATCCATTCTGGACTTAAAAAATGAATATTTGCTTGTTTACAATTTTCATAATATTTTAATTGTTCACTATTTGTATATGTTAATTTTTCACATAAAATAACGGTCGTTGTTTTTGTTGTATTATTCGATGGTAAACAATCAATAACATTTCCATTACATAATTTAATTAATGCAATTAGATCATTTTTTGACATTTTATTTTGACATCCATCACATTCAATTAACAAATTATAATTTTTAAATAAACCACCGTGGTCATTATAACGCATTAAACGTGATGTTCTCATACCATCATGATAATCAGAATAAGGAACATCACCTCTTATTTCAAATGTTGTTTCATCAACAAGTTGATTTTTTGTAAGACATTCAACTATCCATCGATGACTTATGATAAACAAATGTCTGGCGATGGCTTGAAATACTTTAATTGTTAACGGACATAATAATGGTCTAGCCTCGTCACCCGTAATTAGATGCGTAGTTTTTTCGTCGACAACATCAGACAAATGAATATGAAATGTAGTAGAAAATCGTTCCAATTCCGTCTAGAATACAAAATCAACCTGAGTTAATCACAATAGTTCATTCTTCAATGAATGTTTAAATAGGCTAAATAACTCCGACAAACTACTTTCAAACACTTCCACAAGATACGTATTTAAAATAACAAGCAGTAATAATTTGAAGTTCTAAAACGTACCATTTGCTCTAAATTCAAGCATGTATAAGCTAAAACGATTTGTGTATTGGCCAATTGTCGTTCAACATTATTTTGATGATGATGATTTGTTTCCATTAGACTATTACTCATCGGATAACTTTCATCATTCGATAGACTACGATCGAGCTCATCAAAAGATGATTCTAAGAATCAAAAACATACGTATACACTTTGTTTTAAATATGAATGATCGAATATACCTTTATCCATATTGTGTGGCTGTTGTTGACCATTATTTTTCGGTTTTTTACTATAAGCATTATGGGGTAACTTATTTTCTTTTCTCATTTTAACTCGAGCATTCGTAAACCATACGGTAATTTGCGATAATGACATTTTTGTCTTCTCCATTAACATTTGTTTGTCACTTTCTTTTGGATCTAGCAAAGAAAATTGTTTGTTTTTACCATTATAGACTTCAAATGACAAAAACAGATATGTTCACTTACATGGATGATGTTGATGTTCAAATAGCCATTGTTTTAGTGGTCCTATGTGAGAGAAACAAGCTATGGAAAATGATTACAACCGCATAACAAACACAATACTAACCAGTGGAATTTCTTTCACGACCTGTTGTATTAAAGAGAGTCGATAGTTTGTCGTCATTATCAGACGTATTCAGAAGAGGATAGTCTAGAACGATAATCAAAAACTTAGAGAAAGACAAACAGAAATATTAACATACCCGATGTATTTTCATGTAACGACACGTCAGCAATTTCTTGACTTCTTTCACGAGCTGAAGGAAAAAAATGAAATAAACTTTTTTAATGATCGTCTATTTGTCAAGAGTATAACTAAAGTATGTGAATAAACTGATCATTCTACCACTCGTGCTGTTAACTGATCAGCGTAGTTTAAGTACTTCAAAATCTCCTTCCATTCATTCTTAACTTATTAGACTTTCAAACTGCATTACTTGATTTTCTCGGTGATAAATCACCATTATTATTCAATGTTTTGTTATTTTTCTTCTTTTTCTCCCCAGGAGTTGCTGTCATTGTAGATAAATCATCCGTACTTTTTTTACTCGATCTTTTATGACCATTTGAATTATTTAAAACAGCTGAATTATTTGGCTCAAGGTATTCGTACGGCATTCTTTATGCTGTTTTTTGTTTTGATGATTCTAATAATTATCAACTTCGTCAAAAATTATGAAAAAATCGTTTCTAATTCGCCAATTACATACACACTCTAAAACATAATATTAAATCGATAATTACCCACATATTTATAGGAATTAGAAAGACGAACAAAGTCTACCTTTTGGCAGACATAGGCCATGTATATAAACTTTTAAATGTGTGAGGTAAATCTACTACATGCAATTTCTGCGTCTTTAATAAATATCTGCGACTGAGCAATGAATTTTCTTTGCCTAAATAGTCCTTTTCCTAGTGCAGTATATGAAAAATTATCAAAAGTTGCCGGAGGTTAAACAGGTGTGTGAAGGAAACTGAAAATTGTCTACTACAGCTACGCACTGAAAATTGTCTACTACAGCTATGCACTGGAATGAGTTTTGGTATTCTTCAACAGAATACGTATTTAACAGAGAGCTCCTTTAATTTGAAGTAATATATCCGTTTATACATTTATTTGTTTCTTCTTTTGGGTTTTGTTTGTACTTTCTAAAAAATATCACGCTTCCATTTTTTCATATTTGCACTAATCCTCTACCGTCTGAACGATAATGCTAGTACAAGGATAAAATTTTCTGTTCGTTTTTAAAACAGAATTGTGTTCAAAGTCAAAATGCTAAACTAATAACTCAGTATTTCTATATTAATTTGCAAGCTTCGAAGAGGACTGTTATCTATATATGATTGGTTCTTCACCGAAGGTTTTAATAACAAATGAAAACGGCATACACCTAAACTCAGTACACGAATCACTATCTTAAAAAAGAAACACCGATCAGGTATAAACTTTTACGGATGAAGGGTAGGACGATCATACTCTCCCGAAATGTTACGATAAATCTGTATCAATGAAATGCTGAAAATGTGACAATGTCACGGTAAAACATAATATTATCACACTTTTACTATGACATTGTTACACATTTACCGTAACATTTCGGGACAGTGCATACTTGAGAATTTTTATTGTACATATCATCCGTAACATTTTACACTTCAAGTGTGATAGAGTACAAAGCATGATTTCTTTATAGTTTAAACATAGAAACACTATGCATGAAGTGCGGCAGACATCCATACTGTGCTTCAAGTGTGAAACAGTTTTTCCTTTTTTTCTGACATGCCTCAAACATGTAACTTCTACACTTCAACTGTATGGTTTTTTGTTACTACGCGTCAAATGTTAGACGATAGACGTCATCTTGTTTCTTTTGTTCTATGCTGAAGGTCTGTCTTCTAATCAGCCGTTTTTTTGAGTGTATATAATATACTAAATATTGTAAGTTTTCATTTATTCTCTTTTTCTTAGAAAGGCTTTTCAATGTAAAATTATCTCTTGACAGTGGGAATAGTCTAAGTTAAGGTGTTAAAATTTCACGCTGGAAGTATAAATATTACACTACTTTACGTATATTATATCACTGTAAAAAAGTCATACTTTTTACCACAAGTATAAAAAAAATTATGGATGAACCTTCAATTGTGGTACGTACATGGTTCAAAACGTGGGAGTTTTTTCGGATAGTAGACTGGTTCTGTGCTTCGAAACATAGCTCAACTATTATCTCATCACATTGATCCATACTTACTATAAGATTGTATTTAAAAAAATTGAGAAACTTTTAAAAAAATCAAAGTTTTGATATGTTCGTGTCTGTGGACAAAATCCAAAAATCTGTTAATGTTTGTCCTTGATGTTGCATTACTCTAGTATTGAATGCATATTTATGAATTCTTCGAAAAATATTGCATTTTTCAACAACTTATTTTCTACTTATCAAAGTCAGAAGCGATCCATCTGATCAGAGCAGAATTTTGCATATCAAGATGAGATTTTAGTATTATATTCATTTTGACGAAATCATCTTCAAAATCGAATGTATTTACAAAAAATCAATCATTTTACTAAATTGAGACCCTCAACTCATCAAATAACCATTTTCTTTCTCACACAACTATCACTTTTTTTTCGCAATGTGTGTGTTTTCTAATGATCCGTTGCATTTTAGTCTACATAGATCAATAAAATGGAGAGAAATTTCGCAATAAACTTCAATTCGATCCCATTTCTTTTTATTTAATCTTGTCGATCTTTGTTTCAACTCTGATGAAATGGATTTTTACTTTTTACGTGAAAATCCATAATTGACATCGACACATAATTTACATCATGTTGTTTACCTTTTTGAGGAAATTTTCTTTTTCTAGGTCATATTGTTCGTTAACATCTTACATTATCGTCTGCTGATGGGAAGTCATTTCTTTTTATTGATGATAAAGTTGTCAAATCGTTCATAAAACCGCATAATTTATTCAAAAAACGAATGTTCGTCATATAATCGAATTTTGTTGAAAGTAATTTGATTTAGATAAACATGAAGAACATCAACATATCTTAAATCAAATATTTTATTTAAACTAGAATTTTTTGGTTAAATATATATTACATAGTTGATTTCCCACGTGTTATAATTCAAAAGATCAACGAGTATCAATATCATGAAAAACAAGTATCAGTTATATTATACAGACTAAATCAACACTGTTGGTAAAAACCAAAAGAGATAATGCGTTTAGATCTTTCATTAATTGTACCATTCAACCAATTATTATAAGGAGGCTTATCAAATGAGATACATTATCCAAAACACGTTAAAGTTTTAAGGAGTGTTAGTTTATTGCATGGTCGTATTTAATGAGATTCCAATGTTATATTGTATCGTTACTAAAGACATTCGCTCAAATTTTAGTACTCCACTTCGAATTACAGAGTGAATAATTTCTTTTATATGTCAGATGACACTGAACACAATCTTATTCATTCAGCAACACATTATAAATTTCTATCGTTGTTGTTAATTGTTAGATTTTATTTCTATATTCATTTTTATACAAATAATACACCCAAAAATAGATTAAAATTTGTAATCTGTAACTTTTTAGACATACGTACTAACTTCTTTGCACTTAGGCTTCTAAATGTTCTCCGAGTACTGATACTCTCATCGATCACTGGCAGAATGTGTCTTTTCTACAAATGTGAAGATGTTCTTGGAATTCGAAACTACACAAACTAGAAAGAAGAATTTAACAACGAAATACTTTGTCGAATCGACAACAAAATAATTTTCATTGAGAAAATAGTTGACGATTTTCTATCATTTTTCGAAATCCCATTTCACTTTTTGTCTGAAAAATTTCCAAAATATTTAGTAAAGGAAAACATTGGGCATCTGTTCATCAACACATCAAAATCAAAACCTCTTTTTTTGTTTTGTCAGAGCGTCATTTTGAAACTTTTTCAAAAACCAAAACAGATTTTCATTTGATTTGAAGTTGTTTTCTAAATGTGTAGAAAATGGAAGTTACTAAGATTTTAGTTCATACATAAACTGCAGAATGTTTAAAAAACTGCAAAAATCTCTAGTATTTAATTTAGTTTAGAAAATCCTATATGATTTGTTTTGTTTGATGTTGTGTTGCTACAGAATCATCTAAGAGTCTGCGACAGTGCAACATCGAACAAAGTGCGAATTCATCTCTATACATTAGTCTTTTCTATTATAATAGAGTTGATGTGCAATCGATTCCAATACGTTTGAAATACTGATCAATGGGACATGTCGACGGGCAGCAACAAATGTCCACTTTGAGACATGAGAGTGCGTCAAGTGGAAGTACTGGAAAACGAACAAAACGACGTTCACCATCGAATAGTAGCAGTAGAGACTCTGATTACAGACACGATGGTAACTATCTTAAAAAAGAAAATCAATAATAGTAATTGAATTCATCTTTTTTATCTTTTAGAAAGATTAAAATCACGTCGAAGGTCATCCAGCCATGACCGAGACTCATCGTCATCTAGTAGTGGTAATTGATGTTTATTTTTGAAATATGAAATATAAACTTGTGTCTACTTTCTTGTAGATGGTGATCGTGAAGAGGATGAAAGCATAGAGGAAGATGATGCGACCGAAAGTGATCGAAGTTCTCTTAGTTCTGTAAAGGAAGTTATAAGATGGGATTATAGAGTAAGTGTTATTATTTTAATTAAAAACCTTTGTGTCAGTTTTACCCATGCACACCGATTATAACTGATGGAAATTGTGTACTTTTTTTGCAAAAAGTTTTTCTCAATGAAAATTGATTCTCTAAAATTTTTCTAACAGCTGGTTTTGTATAGCAAATATTTTTCTACAAGATGTACTCTTCTTTTTGGATCTAGAACTTATAAAAAAAAAGATTTCTTAAAAGCCCCATTGTCGGTTATAACCGATTTAAGGCTCTTTGTCAAAAAGTGATTGCGACAGAAATAGACAACATGAAAGCTTCTACCATAGTTCATCTTGTAGAAAAATGTTTGCTCTCCAAAACTCAATTGTTAGAAAAATTTTAATATGCATATTTTTCATGAAATCTGTTGTAGAAAAAAGGTGAAATTCATCAGTTATAACCAGTGCATGCCTAGTCAGATTAGGAATCATGTTTCATCTTGTTATATGACTATTTAGATAAATTTGATTGGTCGTCGTGTGAAAGATACAAAAGCATTTTGTTGTTTTAGTTGTGCTTATCCAGTGCTAGTAGCTGGAAGATTGGTATGTAATATATTAATAGATTTCTATTCAGGCGAAATATAATTCATTTAAGTACGTTTTTTCTCTGTTACAGCTTCCTTGTAAACATGTCTTCTGTCTTCAATGCGCACAAAAATGTAAAAATGATAGACGAAATTGTTCCAAGTATGATTTTAATCGAAATGTTTCTATAACTAGTTTGAACATTAACTGACATTTCTATTGATAGATGTAATGATGCAATCAATGATCTAGAAAAAATTGAGGCAAAAAATTTAATTATGTGTTTATACGGTGGTCACCGTAATTCACATGATGTATGTTTACGAGGCTACACATCTCAACGTGATTTAAATGCGCATGTAAAACGACGACATGAACGAAATAGTGGTACAAATATTTCTACACCAAGTGTCAATGAATCTCTGTCACCTCGTTCACAACAAAAAGACAATTTTTCAAATTATCCTCAGCCCACCGGTCATATACCTTCTCAAAGTAATGTATCACAACAACAAGCGCCACCTTCACATCCAACGAGACTGCCACCTCCAACTTTAGCCGGTCTTGATTCCTTATCGAACAATTTATATGATCCATTAGCTCTATTTCATCAGAACGATCATTTTCCACGTGCTCCAATGTTAAGTGGTGTCGCCCCGCTACCGCCTCCACCACCACCATTACCATTTGTAGGTTCAACTTCTCAAACAACGCAGCCTCCATTACGTTATCCAACACCGCATAATCAATATCCTCAAATACCGGGATCTTATTTACAACCTCCTCTACAAACTTCTCATGTTTTTACAAATCCACAACCTCATCAATACTATTAGGAACACATATTTCTTGGTGTATTTACTTTTATTCTAGTTTATTTGCTATGTGTAAAATAAATACTTGTTTTTCGATGTTTGTACATTAATTAGTGTATTAATTGTACCAATGTCCCACTTGTAGTTAGCTGACAAGTTAGATGGACAGATGAAGAACCAATTTTGCAGTACTAAAAAACGTTTGTATTTGAATGTAATATGTCGCAGAGGAATATCGGACAGTAGGATCAACGATTGTTTGTTTCTTTATGAATAAACGTTTGGTATTAACGATAGTATGATTTTATGGTTCAATTAGATTCACACTCAGTTGTTTTTCTGTAAACAAACAATTGTTGAACTCATACCATGTTTCATTATTTTTTAAATTTCTTTTGTAATCTTCTTGCTAGATGTAAAAAATATGGTATTTTTTCTGTTAAACATTTGTGTAGAATATCCTTATACAAAACGAACAAAAAAAGACGAGTTGCTAAATAAAATAATTGTAAAGTAAATAATATAATTGTGTTGTTAAGGACTAATAAACTATTAAAGTATATTTTTAAAGGGTTAAAACATCAAAGTATTAAAATGCTTTTTTTCTTAATTGTTTGGATAATTTTTGTTACTGATTACACGGAAAAATCGAAGTATACTCTTCCTCAAGAAAACGTATAATTAAGGTAAATGAAAAAATGTTATGCTACTTTTGTGTAGACGTAATTTTTCTTAGGATCTTTGAATTACTTTTCGAACTTATATAAATAAAATAATTTTAAATGAGTTGCATTGAAATAGTGAGATGTTATGAAAAATTATAGTTAATTCTTCTGTATATTATGTTTGACATTGATTTTGTTGTCTTCTACTCTATAATCAATCTTTCGATTATCTTTGGTTGACGAGCTGATTTAAAATAAAACTCAATATACATTTTTTTTAGTTCTTAACTAAGAACAGCAACATGGAACAACAGTCTGAATTACCTTCCTCAGACTTCGTGCCTTGTCATAAATCGGCTCCTAAGAGTGTTCTCCATCAACTATCTTTCGAAGGAAACGATATCGATTTAAATACCAGTCCTCTAATTACCCGAGTAAAACTAAATTTGTTTTCATTTTCTGATAGCTGTTTCGAATCCTCGAAATGTTTATTATCGAACCTTAAAATCACCATCAAACAGTTTCATAGAACAATTATCTAAAGGACGTGTCTTACCATTGGTCAAAGCTAAAGGCAATATAACAGTGCAACAACCAAATTTTGTTGTTACAGAATACGTCATTCCCGTTGTAAAAAATTATTATTATTTATCATTAATTGCTGCTATTTCTTGTATTTCACCATTTGGTTTTAATAGCTTTAGCTTCGTCTCTTAAATCATCACTAAAATATGATGTTGGTCAATATGAAAGTGCAAAAAAGTATAGCCAATGGGCTCTTGTATGCTCATTATTATCGATTCTAGCTGGTATAGCATTTTTGATAATTGCATGTACCTTTTTTGTCTCAACTATGGGCACTTATCATTATTATATACGTGGAAATGAGAATAAAAACATTAATGACGATGATGGACAGCAGAATCAAACACCAAGAACAGATTTTGGCATAATAGAGCATGCTGTCATATTAACAACAAACTACCGTAGGAAATAAGTCAATTCAGTGCAATCAACTATTCATCTATCAGATCAACAGATTGATGGAAAACCGGTCATTGCGCGATTTCATCGAACACGAGAAATAAACGGAGCAAGATAAACTTCATTAAATGGTTAAGTTATTTATATGATATTTTATGAATTATGAATTTTTCTCGACTATTTCGATAAAGTAGCTTCGTACTGCGATTATAAGGAAGTTGATAAATAAACACTAGAAAGAGAAATTAATAGAATTGTGTACTATATCTAATATTTATGCAGAAAATAGGAATGCACTGACATAATTACAGTTTGTTATTTTTACTTTGTTTCGATTTTTGTTTTCTGTGTGTCAGGTAGTCACGAACACTTGACTCAGGAGCATTCTTTTCTTTCTTTATGTCTATATAACTTTGCCTTATACAGTATACGTTAGAATTCGTTTGCAGTGGCCACATGGTCTAACAACCTATTGCTGGAACACTACAAACTTCAAAGACCGTCCCAAGTTTCGATGTCTGGAAATGGTCGTTGTAACACTTGGCTGATGAACTTTTAACATCTTAGTTTAATGTTAAGTGTATGTAAGTAATTACTAATAACTTTAGTTTTCGAAATATTTCTGTATTGAATTGATCAGTTCGATTCAGAATAAAAACTTCAAATATTCCATAGACATCTTTGTAAAAAAAATAGTTTAGTTTGTTCTTTGGCATGTACACTGTCACAGACTCTATTTGATGGTTATTGAATGTATGTGTGTATCATTTGTTCCACACTTTTATGATTGATGAATATGATTTTTGTTTTTTAGTGTATATTTATCTACACACTTTTACTCGGTATGTTTCCTTACACTATATATATATATATAGAAATTATTATTTTTTCCTACAATAACAAAGAATATACAAACTGTATATAAAAAGGCAATCATTTGTCATTAATGTTGATTGATTAGACGACAACAACAGTTTTTAACCAAATATTGTTGTTCAAGAAAAAGTTACTGCTCGTTCGGTTAACATTACAATATACGGTGCAACGAAAATGAGTATATATAATGCTTTTTATAGCTTTCTGATTTTTCCAAAAATTAAGTAGTCATCTTTGACCCTCGATCAGTTAGGATATTGTTTAAACTTTCTACAATTATATCGTTGTTAAACTCATTGGAAAATATTGTTACCGCGTTTGATTAGATAATTAAAATTGTTTTTCTTGATTCTGTTTAATTTTATGAAATCTTATCGTCTTACATATCCAAAGTTATCGAATATACAGTGATATGTTTCAAACAGAACTGCGTGTGCTAGTGAGAAGTGTTGCTAATTTCAATCTCAAGTATGGTCATTAGTTAATCCCCTAAGAGTTGTGTGTTTTTATTGAAACATGGAACAAAAAAATGAAAATGTTCAATTTTTGTTATTCACTTTTTCTTTTCTATTTTTTTTTGATTTTTTTCAATTTGACGGATTTATGAGAAAGAGCGGAATGTTTGAACTTTTCTATTTTTCTTCACCGTTATATTTGTGATTGGCATACTTTCTTGTAATAAAACTGACAAATAGTTTCTAAAATTGATTGATCAAAAACTATAAAGAGAGTACATTTATATAGATTTCTTCGAAGATATTTTCTTTTAAAAATCAACTAGAGAAAGAAAAAAACCTATGACAGACTTCGCTAACTGATCAAACGATTTTACGTTCATACAGTTAGTTATACCAACTCAGACGTGCTAATTGTGACTATCATATCAGTTGCGGCTGATACAGATATCGTGAGCAGATTTCTGCAAGTTACCCGCTAGAAAACCGAAATCTTTCTGAGATTGCCGTTTTGCAGAGTATATTAAATCACCTGTTTGTTATTATTAAAAACTAGGTGTGGTGTACAGCACACCATGTCAAAGCTATCGGTACAGGATTTTGAATAATGTTAAGAGGTTCTGGATATGAATAATTATCATATCAATATCAAATCATACAGCTATATTCATGTGGAATTAGTTAGGTGGCTCAATCTCACGGTTAAGATAAGCTAGAGCAAACGCCGGGAGCAATTCGTCACACTCAAAGCAAAAAACCACGAGAATGACGTTGATTTTAGTGATTTTCTCCCAGCGTTTTCTCCTAACTTATCTCAATCCTATCTCACCCGTTCTTTTAACTGTCTTCGTTATTTTATCCTCACACCATCTATACGAGAGATGGAATAAGCTATATTCCATCAGCAGAGAATCATCTGAGACGAGTACAAGTCATATGGACATATATGCAGGTTGATCTTGCTTTATCATGTCCTAAAAATCGCAAAACATATAGAACACGACAGGATTAGATCTCAGCATCTTCATAGTAGAGTAAAGGCAGACGTTTTTTTCCAGATAATTCGAAAGAATATTAGAACATCAGTAACAATGTTTAAGTGGTGAAACTATCAACGATATTTTATTATTGCGAAATTTCAGATGTAAAATATGCTTTTCTCACCAATATCCATGCGTTACGATAGAATAAATTACATTATTCAAGAAAAATTACATAGAATTCATAAAATTTCATAGGACACAGTAAGACTACGTGAACTGTATGCACGGTCGTTAAAGCTTTTATATCTCAGGGTGCAAAGCTCAAAAAGTACCTGTCCTGCATATATTCTGCATAGGTTGGCATCGCATCGTTCGCATCCTTCGAAAAGATTAATGCGATAAGAGTTCAAACAGCATGTACACGCTGCTATTTATTTGATATTCTCTTGCTTTATTTTCCATTCGTATGCTTGTTATTTTTCTATGCTTTTAATAATATTCTAAATTCTGCATAGGAAAAATTACATCCTACCCTTCGCTATTTTCGACTTTATTTTGTCGTTTGAAAATGAGTTAGATATGAATCAACTACACAGCTAGGTCGTGTTTGTTAGTAAAGTGAAATACAAATTTTTAATAGTATTTCTTTTTCAAGTTCACATTTTTCGAAGAAAATTAACCAGTCATGACACATCTAGCAAAAAATCAGCCAATCTATTTCGTGAAAAGAAAACGAGAGAGAAAAGGAAAAGTGTACTTTTCTGATTTCTTGTTTGGTCCACTATATATGAATGTTAAGAGGATGACATAATTGGGTAAACTATAAAGATAGGAGAAGAAAAAGAAGGAAAAAGAGAGAGAACACTACTCAGGACATGGAGAATAGACTAAGTGTTGACAGCTATTGATAGATCAAACGCATCTTATTTTTTTTTTGTTTTCAGTTTTTCTTCAAAGAAAACAATCTTTCAACAAAAATCAGTCAGTTTTCTTAGTTTTTAATTCTCAACAAGATAATCTTGTCTATCATCTGATTACATCAATTCAGAAAAAAGACATAAATGATAAATAAACAAAAGGAATAATTTCTAAATAATAATAATATTGTATTATGATGTCGATATTACCTGCACACGATTCATCGACTTACATTAATTCAGAATATTTTACAGTAGAACAAACAAATGAGTTTAATTCACTACAAACACATCAACAGCAATATTTGTTCGAAAACATGAACAAATGTAGTAAACAGCAAAAATTAACAACTAAACGAACAGCGAGAAAAGGCAAACGATCAGGTAAGAATTATTTCGTTTTCTGACGTTTCTTTTAATGTGTTATATATGGCGGTATTAAGTTCTCAGTAATGCATAGAAGATTCTTAAAATTTTCTTATCGAGTTTGTGGTTTAAATGCAATTTCTCTCCCGAAAACTGAATATTAGAAAGGTGAACCATTTTCATCTAAATTAGGCGATATTTACAAGTGGTCTGTAGTAAATGAATAATTTATCTTTTAATTAATAGAATGAGGGATAAACCCGAAATGGTCATGCGAGGATTAAGCTCAATTAAGAGAGAGAAAGCAGCTCATCTGGAATAAAATTTTGCCTCCTTCTGAAAATGGGATATTTAGTTCTACAATTTTAATTTTTCTATGAAGAAAATATAACCATAAAGCCTATCTTCAGAATTTATTCCTTCAGTTAAGCTCCTTCACTGTCCCATCTTTTGGGTTGTTCAGCTTCATACCTCGTCTATTCACTTGCTATCGTAAGAATACTATTGCACTCACAGATTACTCACATTGTTTCAAAGAACTTTTGCCACTGCGCAGTATAGCTTTATGATAAACATCAAATCCATCGAAAATTCTTCCTTGCTACTTTCGCATACATCTTCACTCTTCTGAGACATATGCAGTTTGATGGAGCACAGGGTTATCTGTATGAGCGGATCTACGAGAAAAGAATGAAGTAATTATTTTTCTGCTCAAGATTTTTCGAGCTCATTTTTTATTTTATACGAAAAAGAGAGAAGTAGTAAACTTTTCCTTCAAAAGCAAAAGACTCGAATGCAACAGTTATTTGTTGGTTTAAAAGGTGAAAATAAGCTTGGAAGATATTTAGCATAATTATGAATAATCTCTTTCCAAAATTTCAAAGTGTTCGTAGTACGTTCTACAAGTTTTACTCGTCACCCTATTGTCTCTGCTCCCATTCTCTTTTCTTTAATTATTCATCCATTTATTTTCGTTCAGTCTTATACTGAAAACGAACTGAACGCTCATCTTCACGGACTCCCTAAAAGATTGTCCAGAATTAGTTTTAGCATGTTCTAAAGCGGCCAACAGATAGATGTTGTGGGTTAATTTAATCTACAAATTATCCTTGAAAATCTGAATGCAAGTATGAAGCCTAGATAAGCCTAGAAGACTGCGTTCGATACCTCAACAAGATCACATTTCGATAAAGACTCATTCTTAACTTCTATACTAAAAAGATAATTTTCGAGCGTAAGTATCCCATTTATAGAAGAAAAGTTGTTTTTCAACCGAGTTTAATTCTTGTAGATTTCTGAGTTCATTCAATTTCATACATCTAATTTTAATCATGTTAAAGTTTTCTATATGTTACGCCATATCTTTATTTATCCTCATTTATCTGATTGTACTTTCCATTGTTATTAGTTAACAGCTGTGTAATTGTCCCGGATGTAGGAATCGAACAAGAAGAAGCAAACATAGAAAGAGAGGATGAACAAGAGAGAGAAGACTCGCTAGATACCATTGACAGAAGTAAACCAAATCTGACAGATTTTAACTAGAAGAAGCGAGAGCGAAACGTTAATTAAACAGCCAAACAAGTGTTCGTTAACGCAAGACAAATAAATCCTGACCTTAAAATTGCGTTGATTTCTCCACAATCAATCCAAAAACGTTTTAACTCGTTGTTGACTTTTAGTTTCAAAATATTTTTTGTCACACGTAAATGTGTAAAAATTTGAATCAGATCGGTTTGGGTCTTTGGTAAATACTATTCAAGCTCAGATTGACTTTTAGTTGATAAAAATTATTTTTCTGCAAAACAATTTTGTAGTCGACGAAAAAATTTTGTGTTTTTACTTATATAAAACACGGAACAGTTATCGCCGGTTGTCATTTTCTGAACTACCATTGGAGCGATTCTACCCGCCTTCAACCACGGTTATGTACGGTTGGATTTTTTCTTTCTTTCTGTGCAACAACACAATCACCGTTTTGTTTTGCAGAGACAACAACACTAAAGAGTAAGAAAAATGGGACATTTTTTTCTTAGATTTTCTTACTGAACAATGTGAGCCAATAGAAGTTCACTGCTGTTCAAAGCCGAGTATTCAAAACGAACCGTGCTTGCAGACGGTTATTTCGAGACTCAAAGCGCCTTAAGGCGATTTTTTTTAAACAACAAGCCGTTTGTGAGAGTCGTCGTATCCAGAAAAAATACGCGATTAACGCCGGTTTAATAGAGAGAGAAAAACCGAGCTTGAATCGCGCTTTTTCTGGTATAATTATTCAAAAGCCAAACCATTTGGTCGGCGGTTTTCGAATGAACGAACGGTTATTTTGATCTTTTTTTCTGCTAGTATCTGAACCGCTAAAAACGATTTTTTTCTGCGTTTTATCATGGGCTTTCTCTTCACTGAATATTTATCTATCATCATCCATTCTTTTATAAAAATGTACAAAATCTTATCAGCTTACTCGAATAAACCTCTGATGATCTAAAGTAAAAGAAAGAACACTGAACAAAGAAGATCAAAGTGATAGTGAGCACGTGTGAAATGATATGATGAAATTTATAAATTAGAAAAATTGATTCTGTTAGCAAGTACGTGCCCAATAAAGCCTTCATATAATATTGTTAAGACAATATATCATAAAACTATAAGAGCTTTCAGCGCTATTGATTGAAAAAGTCTGTTCGTTATTGTTAGAACAGCTAGATTTCATTGGATTACTTGCAAACTTTTTTTCTATTAAATAGTTGCTTTTATCATTTCATAACAAGATCAAGCTCGAATCGTAATGTGACCGTCTATGTATAATAAGAAAAGGAAAAAGTTAATGGTGTTTTAATTACTTGGTAGAAGCTTCAGATGTATAACCAAAGTTATATTGAAAAAATTCTCTAATATACTCAATAATGTGAAAAGATGATATCCTCGACCTTTCAAACACTGATATTATGTTCACAGAAACGCTTAGTTCGTATTTATTGTAAGATATTTGTGTCTTGTTATTCACACAAACTGTCTAAAAGTAAATATGAAATGTACATTGTCTTCTATTATGTTTTGATTCTGTCTTTCGAGCTGTCAACACATTTTTTTTTTGTATATTTTATGCATCTTTTTTTAGTGATTAATATGATACAGCTGCCATCTTCTCTATATATACAATGCACAGCTTATTCTGATGAAAATTTTTTTGACAGTAACCAATCGACGTTTTAGCATAAAGAATAAATTTGACTAATGCTAACCAATAGCTAAAAAGGTAGTAGTTGAAAGCACAAAGGATATATTGCTTTTTATTGCGTGCAATAAACAACTTATTATGATTCCATCATTGTCAATTTAGTATAAAAACTAGTTGTTTAGTGATTAGATATGCTGAAACATTTGGCAAACAAATAACAGAATTTATCTCATGAATAATGTTAATATGTCAGAAACTTTTTGGATTTTAAAGAGTGTGAATAAAATATTCAATTGAGATCACTTGATTCTACACAGACTATAATATTTTACTATTTAGATAATCCTCATGCTCCAAAGCGAATCCGAACAGCCTATACTAATAAACAATTACTTGAATTGGAAAAAGAATTTCATTATAGTAAATATTTATGTCGACCGCGACGAGTTGAAATAGCCTCAACACTATTATTAAGTGAAAGACAAGTAAAAGTATGGTTTCAAAACAGGTAGCATACATCCATGTTCCACGACACTCACCATCCTTAATTTCTTTTTTTAATTACAGACGAATGAAATACAAGCGACAATTGATGTTGCAAGATCCAAAATTGGCAGAAGAAGTTGAATTAGAAGAACTGAGTAGTGAAGAGGAGGACAACAACAATGGTGACGATAAAGATACTGATATTGAAAATTCAAAATTAAACGATGAAGATGGAAAAAGGATGTCAATCAAGCAACAAGATACATGTGAAAAGGAAAAAACATCATATGAACCATCGAAAAAAAGGAAAAAACGAAATCGATGTACATTGAAAAATTGCAGAAAAGTCGCTCAAACAGAATGGACAACAGCTGGTGAAGAAATGAGCAATTCAACAACAACTAAAGTGATGGTTGATACCAAAACAACATCGAATGCCAGATCCATAAAAATTTCATCTGAAGATCCAGATGCATCATTGAACGGCACCACAGTTAAGGTAATAAATAATATAAGTAGAATTCATGCTGCGTACGGATTATGATTTGGTTTATAGATTTCAATAATTGCTTATATTATCCGTAAATTTATTGTTAGCCAAACGTTTCGGCTTGGTAAAGCCTTTATCAATGGCACATAATAAGAAAACGGTCAAACAACTGAAAATAAAACTAACATAAATCTATAGATTTATGTTAGTTTTATTTTCAGTTGTTTGACCGTTTTCTTATTATGTGCCATTGATAAAGGCTTTACCAAGCCGAAACGTTTGGCTAACAATAAATTTACGGATAATATAAGCAATTATTGAAATCTATAAAATAAATAATATATTAAAGGAAAAGATCTTAATGATTAATATTCCACTAATTTTATTGAACCTGGTATCATCTATCACCGCTTGCAACTAATTGTGCATTTTTTTGTTGTGATATAGGATGATGAAGTTAAACAAGAAAGTATTTCTGAGGAGGGTGTGAACAATAGTGGAATAACAAACAACAACGTCCTTATTCCATGGACTAATAATCCTAGTAATGATTTATATTTTGATTGTCCAAATAACGTAACATCCAATATGAACGTTAGGATGACAAATAATCAGCAACTGCCATCTTGTATTTATTCAAAATCATCTACCTCTTCGAAAAATGCAGAAGGTTTCGTTGAAGAAGTTGTTGCTAGAAGAAGCAGTTGTATAAAATTAGAACAAACATCAGCAGCCATTTGTCCAATGGATAATAACAGGCAACAGCAAAATTTATCTAATACATGCTGCGATTGGTCAACAAATACATCCACATCGTCTTCTTGTAGTTATTTCAACAAAACTCATTGTGATCACGTGAACTGTTTCTGTAACTATAGCGATAATAATACGACATTTGTCCCTACAGGCGATACATGTCTAAACTCGCAATATGTAACGAATTCGAATAATAATTCTCCAGGCTGGATGAATGAAAATTCTTATTATGATTATCAGCAACAACCCTATGTTTTACCTCAAAAAGACTCATCATCATCTTATCCTCAATTATCAAACTCTTATTATTCATCTCAACCTGTCCAACATAACATGACCCTAAATGTGCCTGTAGTAACCAATTTTCAATTAAATGTTAACACCCATATACCACCTCAACCGCCACTGACTGTAGCATATCCGTCAACAAACAGTAATGTTTACTCATCACCAAAGCATTTACTATCACCGTACAACAATTCTGAAACATTCAATAATTTATATCATAATAATCAGTCACATGAACAACAACTATCGCATTCTTATCGTGCTCAAACACAAACATCATCAACCTTTGGCCTAAAAAAATACAATCAACTAGCTTATAATACTAATCGTCATGCGCAGAAAACATTTCATCGTGAACAACCTTCACATTTAAGATCTTGGTCATCATCAGTTGACTACATTTGTCGAGATGAAATGTATCCAATGAATACGACTTCTCCTACATTTGTCGGGAACCGTCAATCAACCGCCTTGATAGGAAATAGTTATTATCAATTATAAAGGGTTTTTTTGGCAATTTCTTGAAAACACTTTAATGCATAAATAAATTTTTCATTCTGTTTTTAGCTATGCCAGTTACTCATCTTCATAATTCAGCCAACATTCAGCTAAGATTTTGAGACTATTAGATAAAATAACGCATGTCAAATATGTCCGATTCGATCTGACAGAATTACCACAATTTTCGTCTGCATTCTATTTCTCAGAATCTGATTACCGGATCCAGTTGGATCCATTTCAATCGGACTAATTTCGGATAAAGTAATTTGGTCGGAGACAACAAGATCCGTCAATCAGATTCCGAGAAATAGCTTTCGACGAAATCTGGTGGAAACTGACCAAATTAAGTTGGATTTTGTTGAATTCCGACATAGAACCGACAAGTTCCAACAACAGGATGCGACGATCGGCATGTTGAACCTAGAAACTAATACGAGATGCAAAATCCAAATCCTAATTATTATTTCTAGAAATATTTTTTCAGAGTGATTTTTACACACAACTCAGAGTGCCTATCTTCTCCCTCTTTACACACTTTTAGATTAACTGCCAACTACCAACTACCACAGGGTACATATAATTTCGATCGAGACATTTTAAAAGCTAGTCCAAGAGAACCGATTGCACATTTGATTTTTCCATAGTCGACTTGCCTAGTACGCATCAACTTTTGGACCGGGGTACTCTCAAAAACCTTTTCCGCAGCGTTTTACCACATAATTTTTCATTTCATAATTTTTCAGTTCCTGCAGGGACTAAAGATAATACGATTCAAGGCAATTGACTGTGGAAAATCCAAATGTGCAATCGACTTTCTGGGACTAGCTTTTAAATCGGTTTAATATCCGATAGGTATTAAGAAATTTTTGAAACACCACTACCCAAAAAAACTCGATCTGCAAAAATCTTTGCAGATTCTGCAAAGATTCTGTAATCTGCAGTTTTTCTGCAATGCAGATGTGCCAAGATTTGGCCAAAGATCTGATGCAGATCTGCAAAAAAATCTTTACAGTTTCTTTTCAGTTTCTCTGCAGATTCTTTGC